CCATCAGTGTGTGATTGAGTAGGTGAGGACTCAAAAATACTGAATCTGTCCTGAGACAACCTTTAAAAATGGTCCTCATTTTTTTTTTTTTTTATTTAACCTTTACTTATCCAGGAAAGTCCCACTGAGATTAAAAACCTCTTTTTCAAGGGAGTCCTGGCCAAGAGGCAGCATAAGGTACACAGTCACACTCACAACATACAGACAGCAATTCAAATTATTTAAAAAAAACAATTAGCAATTAAAATGATAAAAAACAGTTACAAGTAAAGGAGGTCGTCTCAAGTGCTCTCAGCCTGGATTTAAAAGCGTTCAAAGAAATCAGTTCAGTTATTTTCCAGCATGTTCCATGTAGAAGGAGCAGAGTAGACGAAAGCCCCTTTTCCCAGCTCTGTGCGGGCAAATGGAACAGACAGCAACAACTGATCATTTGAACGCAAACCGTCAGAATCAACAGTTCTCCGTGTGATTAGGTTACAGATGTAGGAGGGCAGTAGCCCAAGCATGGCCTTGTAAATAATGAGAGTAAAGTTAAGCTAAAAGCTTAAGATCATTTTGTCCACATTGGATTTCATTCGATAACCTACTCTGAATTCAGTCCACTGTGACCTGAAGTGTTCCTCTCCTTGGCCCTCCTGTGTGGACGTGTGCACACAGCTGGCTGAGGGGAAAATGCCTGTGTGAGAATGAGCTTTAATCCAGCTGGTCCACCCTGCTTTGATGAGGATCGTGGTAACAATACAGCACATGACAACGCTCCTCTTTGCGCCGACATCGCCTGCATACAGAGAGAAAAGGAGGGCCGACTGGCTTCAGTATTCAGCACCTTTTTTTCCTCCGAGGCGCCATCTGAATGCGGATGGAGCAGCAGCTTGACAAGTTGACAAAAAAACAGCTCGTCAGAAAAACTTTTTTCAGAGATTATGACGGTTGAAAGTGAACTGTTCATCTTTCAAACTAAACCGGCCAATCTTGGAAAACTCATCAAGCAAATAGGAAAAGAAACATTTTGGAGAGTGTATAGATGTCTTTATCATATTGTGTATTCTAAAAGCATATGAGGGTAGTCAATTACATCATTCACCAGAGGGACCAATACTGTTACATAACAGCCAGACATCGCTCTGAGCGCCCCACGGCACAGCTCCAAATGATCCCTCTCTGAGCGCCACACAGTTTATCAGCCTATACTCACTTATTTAAAATCACAGAAAACAGCACTGTGAAGCTACGGAAAAGATGACAAATAATCCATACCACAACCATGATAGTTTGTAGCCTTTTCTACTACGAGAGTAAGGAGCGTTGCGGATGTATGATCAGAATCTTAATCAGCTTTACTGCTCATGCAGGACCATGTAAACAGAGTCGCTTTGGAGTATTTACGAACATCTATAAAAGTGCTGAACTTCTATTTGACGAGACCTTTTTCCTTCCTTTCATATCGAACTGAAAGTGAAATCAGTGTTTACTTTGAGATGTTTTCTCAGTGTTTGTCGACGTGTGCCCTTTTGGTCAAAATAAGATATTTTAAATGTTTGTGTGTGGAGGATGGGGATATCGACATTGCTGTCAATTTTCATACCAGTCATATGAAGACCAAAAGAGTAATGCCAACATTAGCTACAGGCTCCTCTTCGTACTGACTTAGATGTGTTTGACAGCTCTCAACTTTGATAAAAAAACAAAAACAAACAAACAAAAAAGGCAGGTTTAGGAAAAGTGCAAGCTAGGCTAACTAGCTTCAGCTCGGAAAGGGTAACTGCAAAAAGGCCAGCTTGTTTTTATTTCTGAGGAGCTAGCTCTTGCTAGCTCCCACTTTTTTCAGCAGAATAGAAAAGTAAAAAAAAATTTACTCGTGCAATGCATGTTTTTTTTTTTCAAGTTTTTAAAACACCACAACAATGCCGTGTCAAGCTAATGGTGCTACGGCTCCACAGGACGTAATGTCAGTCAACTGTTGCCATGGAAAATGCTCAAACAGCAGCCTGAAGCTATACTCGCTATTTCCACAAAGATGTCAGAAACCAGTCGTCTTAAGCTTTATATATCAAGCTCAAGTTGTATTGGTGTTGCGTTCAAGAGCACATAACCAATAGCTAACCAACATATTCCCTGACAGCCGGGTGCTGTAGTGAATTGTCTTACACTCAGAGAACTGTAAGGCAAGACGCTGGCTGACACACAGGTCGTCAGCGCCTGTAATAACACACTGACAGCTCTGGGACCGAAACAGAGCATGCAAATGAGGCAGCATATTCCCAAAGAGGAAAGTGATGTCATTTGATAATAATGACTCTGTAAACTGAGACGCAGCCAGAGAGAAAAGTCTGAGCAGGCGGAGCGGCTGCAGTTTGAACTTCAATTTGTATGAGCCTCTTTAATCTATTCCAGCCTCCAGCTCTGCAAACACACATTACATAAGAGCGGACCTCCATGTATTCCTGGGCCTCTAAACTTATCTGAGAAGTATGTGTGCAGCCCGATGTGGAGAGGCAGTGAAGTCTAGCACACAGATCTCTAAGATACCCTCTAACATACAAACATTCACAGTAAAACCACTCAACAAGGAGCCTCAGATTCAGACAAGCCAAGAGCACGTAATGCAGAAAATATGAGTTCCATGGCCTACTCGAGGAAAAGTTAATTATGTCATTCAACAGAATTCATGTTTAATATGAGTCCAACATCTGTCTATGTATCTCTAGCTCTGTATACTTGATGTCATGTTTCAAATTATGCATTTTTAAATGACAAGATGTAAAACAGCCCAAACTGACTTTAAATCAAATGTATTTTAATCAGTTGGACGTCACTCAGAGCTTCATTGAATATCTATCTATCTGAATATCTTCCCTGTGGGCCCGATCAAACGGAGACGCACGAGGTGCAGCCTCTGTGCATCTTGTGGGAAAAACAGCTGACTGTGCCTGTGGAGCAGAGTCGCCATACAGGTGGCCAAATAAAACGAGTAGGAAAAATTGGATTTGAGCAAACACAGAGGTCTAGCCATTGATTTGCTCGAAAACGAGGAGGGGGAAATGTCATAAAATGTGGCGGTTAAGATTCCTACTTCATTTGATTTGGCTGCTTCGGCCAAAAGGGACGCCGCGCCTCTGAGCTGAAAAGTTTTTAACTTTTATGCGCTCCCAAAAACTACTAAAAAAAAACTCCGCCAGGGAGCGAAAAGCCCATTTAAGTTAACTGTTATGCCAGTAATCTCGGCTTGGTGAAGCTATGCCAGGACCTGCTCATAGTCAGATGCATTTGACACTAAAAGAAATTTGTTAGCAAACTTTTTTTCAGTAAACTCCAAAAGCTGGTGGGAGCCAGGCCAAGGAGCTAACGCTACCGATCTAACACGCGTGTAATGATGTCGTTTAATGACATCTGGAGGCTCATTCACTTCACCCAGCCCAGCCCAGCCATTTGTGTGATGCATTTCTGTGGGCGGCCCCGGACAAAACTAGACATCTTGTGATGTCTCTTGCACAGGGGAGGTATTAAGATGGTCTTATTTTTGACCTACATTATCATTTTACAGCCTGGTTAAGTCATTCTAAAACAAGCCTTCCTTCTATGCTTTGCATTAGAAAGAACATAGAGAAGGAGAAATGTTAAACTCTAGATAAAAGTTTCCATTTAACGATGATAGCTCGTGGCTGGTTGATAACAGTTAAGTCATTCTTTGATTGTGCAGGATAGACTTTTTTAATCCAAACAGTAAAGTGGTGTTTGAGGAATACCTCTAGAGTACTGATGAGCATAGTTAAACTGCATTATGGGTGTGCAGTTTTATTATCTTGAGGATGAACAGACGCTGAGCACGGTGACTGAGATTGATCAAAGACACAAACTGGGGCTAGTTTCATTCCTACTCACCTCTACAGGTCAGGTACGGTCCAGTTGTTCTTCTACCTGACGCTGAGCCAGTCTGGACTCAACTAAGTTTTTAGGTATGAAATATATAAAAGGAGCTTTTTGCTTGTAAACATTTCTGATTTGCAGGTTAAAATATTTATAATTACGCAGGGAAATGCAGCCACAAAGATTGGGTTTGTTACCGACACCCAAATCAAGCCTAGCCTGTTTCTCTGTGTATCTGACTTGTTCATGATTAAAACACACTTATTGACTGCACCTCAAACCTTTCTCCACACAGGTGCTTTAAAGAACGAAACTTCAGCAGGGTGGATACAAGTGTCCTCATGGAGGCTTGTACTACACTCACTCATTTACATCACACTTTCACCTCTCACAACACACAGATAAGGTCCACACAATGAATCCACACTAATCCCATTTTTTGTGGTGCTCCCTTGTCTCAGACATGCCCCCTGAACATCTCTGCATGGCTGCCTTTATTTGCATCCACAGGCCAATAAATAAAACAAACATAACCTGGATATATCCCTCATTTGGCTGCACACAGACAAGCTCCACATATTGCGCGAAATAGCCAACAATAAGCACTATACCTGATGCCATCATAGACGCCCTTTATCATCTTTTGTTATGATCCAATCCACACTGACAGCAGAGGCAAAACACTGCTCCTGGCAGCCATCTTTCTACTTTGTAGTCCCAGGAGAATACAGGCTTGGAAAGTCCACATTTAGGGATTCAAAGGGCACAAAATAAAGCATCCAAACTAACCCAACACGCGCTGCAAACCTCTCCAGCTTTGCAGTGTGCACAGGACTTGGACAGACAATAGAGAAGGCAGACGCAGATAACACTTGTCCTGAGAACAATAGTTTCAGACAGGTTGTGTCACGAGACGTTTTATATTCACGTCACATTAAACTTCAACAAGTTCGTTATCATCCCCTGAGTGTCTGCTCCTCCTGTAAATTAAGTTTTCCCCAGCTACATAGGGTAAGAAAGATAAAGAGATGTTTGACTTCACCTTCATATCAGAGCAAGAAATCAGTGTAATGAAATCAATTGTTTTAAAAACACAGATGCTGTCGACAGAAGAGAACATGAGGAGCTCTTACCGCGCTGTTCGTGCTGATTCTGCTGCTTCTTTCCTGCTTTATAATCCCTTTTTTTTCTCTCTGATGATCAGTCGCGTCTCACAGACAAATCTCGACCTCACTTCCATGTGCTCGCGACCAGGACCACGCGCTCAGGGGAGCGCTCGGGATACGGCGCGTGACGTCACGACGAGAGCGAGAGAAGCAAGTCGGAAAATCGGTGCTAAATGAATAATTAAACATTCATAATAACATGACATATGACTCAGTGTGTAATGAAAAGGCGCGGCAGTCAACTGAGATGTTATTTGAAGTTTTATTATTGATATCTTTTTAATAATTCCCCACAAAGATTTTCACTCATTTTTTATTAAAGCCTGTATTATTGCCTCTTACGACAACAACAACAACAAACACACACATTTGGACCGTGCAGGGACAAAGCTATAAGAATATAATTGTATGTGTGTTTTCTTTAATGCCCAACATTGAATTCTAAACTCAACATTGAGACATTGAAAGTAATTTATTTTATGAGTAAACTCACAATCAGCCTCATTGTCCAAGTATGTTAAACCATTCAATGACTTTGAAGTAGCTAGGACTGTACTTAAATCACTTTCAAGGGCAGAATATCATATTTTAAATTGATTTTATGTGCCAAAGTGATGTCTTTAGTGCTTCTAGATGTCTGATTTATGTCCCTGAATTTCCTATTTCATCCAGAAAAGGTGTTATAGAAGTCATTAGAGCAGCTTCTATTAAAGAAACTAGTTCACTTGACTTTGAATGATGAAATTGTTGAAAGGAGAGCATCTTGCTCTGAAACATGTCCTCCAAAATGAGAGGCTTCCTCTGATGACTTAAGCATCAGTTATTTTGGAATGGCCTCAATAACAAGCTCCTTAAGTTAAATGTGCCACAATGCTAAACTTGGTTTACCATGTTTGGTGCTTACCTCTTTAAGATCTGTTCACTTTGTCCAACGTCAGATGAAAATATGACACCTTTCAATCCATAACTGTACTTGTTGAGGTAAATGAGCACCTTATCTGGATTAGTCTCCCACCTAAACATAATCTCCTGACTCTGTCCCCGACTCTCTGTTTCAATGAAGTAATCATTTATGTGGCTTCACCCTTGCTGCACCTTGAGACCACGCCCTCCTCTGGTACCTTTTTCAATCCACACAGCTGGACTGTGATGAGATGTGTGTGTTTGTACATTGAAGGAACAAGGACTCAAATTCAAGAAGAAACATTGTTTTTTTTATATTTCAAAAAGAATCTAGGAACATAATGGAAAAAAACAAACACTGGGTCTGAACATCCAGACAATTGAGATCCAAAAATACATTTTCTTAGGAAATATTAATTATATACAAAACATAAAAATTTATATTTTAGTTTGGGCCCTCAACAAGGTAACCCCATTTTAATATTTTATTAATAAAAATAAACTTTTAAATATTTAATCCACCCATAACTTCAATTGAGGCAGTTTTAACATTGAAATCAAACAAGATTCCAAACAACTTAATCCGCTTTGCATTTGCATGCAACAACAACAACTGTACACCCTAAGTCTTGAACTTGCATAAAAAACAAAAGGCAGAAAAAAAGTCTCTGGTTCAAACTTTAAGCACGAGCGCCCTGCAGCTGCGACAGTTTCTGCTTTAAAAGTTCACTTCTCCTCCTCAGCTGCTCTTTGACTGAGAGGAGTCTCTGTTCGTCTGACTGCATGCTGTAGATGCACTCTGTCGCCTTCTTCAGGATCACCACCTTGGCTGCCTTCTCGTTGTTGGCCACCTCGGGGATCTCGTCCCGTAGCGCAAAGAAGCTCAACTTGAGCTCGTTCCTCCTCTGACGCTCCAGAACGTTATGAGTCCTTCTCTTGTCGTAGTCCTCCGTGTCGGACGTCCGGGGGCTCGAACACTTGCGGTTGCTGCTGATCTGTTTGAGGACCCTGCTGTGGCTGCTGCTGCCTCCTCCGCCGCCTCCGCCGCCTCCACCTCCTCCTCCTCCTCCTCCACTGTTACTGCTGCTCTCCAGCTTCAGCCTCTTGACAGAAGGCTGCTCGTGGTGCCTCATGGATGGATGGGCGGCATAGTTGTGTTGGTGGGTGGAGACATGGCACCTCTTCAGCACGAGCGGGCTGGGGTGCCTGGTTTCGGTCGGACTGGGGTCACACCGCTTTACCGCCTGCCTCTTTTCCACAGTGACAACATCAATCTCCTCTTCCTCCTCTTCTTCTTCTTCTTCCTCCTCCTCCTCTTCATCATCATCATCATCATCTTCTGTAACACAACACAGAAAGCAAACGCATTACATTCATGCAGGAGTACAATCTCTTCTTCCACATGACTTAACATTGCAGCCAATGCCCTCTAGCTGATCTCGCAGCAGCAGGACAGCATGTCTACTGCCTGCAAATCGCATGAATTAAAGCAACCATTGACCTCCTTTTATTGTAAATAGTTCAGCAGGCAGACATCCATTGCAAAAAAAAAAAAAAAAAAAAAGGGGTGTGACGCTTACCTGAGTCACTACAACTGCTGCTACTGCTGCCGCTGTTGGGCGGCGTGTCCAGCCCCAAGTCTTTACTCGGCGGCGTCCCTGCGCTCTGTTTGGGTGTCTCTGCCACCGGGTACGGGAAAACCACAGATGGGTCGATGCACTCTGCCGCGGTTGTGTTCAGATCTTGCAGGTAGCTGCTGTTTAACCTCCATGCTGCTGCTGCTGCTGCTGCTGCTGCTGCGCCGGCCGGCTCCGCACACTCCCCAGCCGTGGACTCCTTCCGCGCGGCGTGCAGGGAGGCGAGCCGCTCGGAGACGACCTTCTCCAGCTTGGCCGCCGCGGAGAAGCCGCTCCACATGCAGTCCTGGATGATGATGGACTTGAGGAAGGTCTGGGAGTAGTCGGCGTCGCAGATGATGCTCTGATTGAACGCGTCATCGCCCAGGAACTCTGTCACCATTTCCAGCTGATCCGCCGTGGAGGGGAAGAGGCTTGACAGGGACGGCCGGCGGCTCGGGGAGAGGGGAGGGGTCGGCAGCAGCTCGAATTTCTTCCAGATGTCTTCGCTCGGGGCCGGAGGCTGAAGTTGCTGAGGGTAGAAGTCTTCCTCCTCGTTGTCGTAGTAGAAATACGGTTGGAGGGAGTCGTAGTCGTAGTCGTAGTTTTTACTCGCCAAACTTGAAGTCAGCGGCATGATGTCTCTGCTGCTTGCGTCCTTATCGTGAAGCTGAGTCGAGAAATAAATTTGAAAAAAAATTAGATGCTGAAGGTTTGCAGGATGAACGCAACATTAATCCTAAGTGTAAGCAACATCACATGGTCACTCCAAAACATCAGCCTGTGTGCACGCCTTGCATGCATGCACTGGCGCTGCAGCAGGTGCTCAACTGGGAAATTAGGTGCAAGAGGGGAAACCCCATCTTTAATAAACTCCCCCCTGACGTTAAACTGACACACTAACATGTTTCATTTAGCGTAACTAGTATAGGACGTTGACATGCAATCTCCAGAGACGCCTTACCTTTTCAAATATAAACTGACGTCCGCAGAAAAGGGGGCGAAATCAACCCAAAGCGCACGAAAAAGGGCAGGAAACTTATTCCAACACGAAAGAAACATTAAATCCTTCCACGGGGGGTGTTGCTGTCGGTTTCAGTGCGGCAGTGTGAAAGCATGCATGAAAGGGGCTGAGAGGCTGCACAGGCTAGCCGGGGTGAGGACGACGTTCAGTCTGTCATCAGCAGCGTGAGAATCACAGCTGAGAGCTCTGCAAGCTGCAATAAAACCCGCCGCAGCACTCCAACCTAACCGCTCCCTCCGCTGAATCCCTCCGCCAGGTTTTCCCCGCGAAACGCTCGCCGGCCTTGAAAAGTCTCTCAAGCGACACATTACATTTTAACTCTTAACAGCGAGAATAACCTGTTGTCAACATTTGGGTCATTTTAAAAAAAAACTACAAACACCTGATTTCATTCGTATAAAAGGTCATAAATGATATTGTTTCTGTTTTGATGGGGTCTACTTCGGTTAAGGAGAAGTGGGAGGGGTCATAGTAGAGTAGAGCCCATTGACGGGAAGCATGCACGAAATACTAATGTAAGTCGTAGTAGTAGATAATTAGGGTTGGTTATTTCACTTCTATCCCGCCTAAAATATCACAGAGCATCCCAGACTCTCTTGTCAAAGCTGTTTGGCGTCGTTGAAGATTTTTCTTTTATTGCAATTCATCAATATGTGAGATTCAGTTGCCCACGTAAAAGTCGAGTATATTCATGCAAAGTGCATTATGCTTGAAAATCACAAGTTCGACAAATCACCGTGCATTGAAGTTGGAAACGCACTATATGACGCCTGTTATCAAGTTTGCATATTTTTTTTTTTTTTTTTTGCAGAAATTTCAAGGCAATGCAGCGAAATGGTTTGACAGGTGCAGCAGCAGCAGCTTACCTTGATCTGTCTGCAGCAAACTGTCTGGAACAGGTGAATTCGACGTGTTGTGGTAGATAACTGCTGTTGTTTATGCATTTATTTATTTAGTAGCAGTAAGTGTTCTAGTTGCTGACTGACCGTGCACTGCTCGGTTTTGAGGTTGGACAGATTGGCACCAATTAACTCCAGGAAGGAAGTAATTAGAGGAATCGGATGGTAACCGCAGTTGGCTCACAGAGGTGCCCTCCTCGGCTGTGGCAGAGAGGAGGTGGAGGCGGAGATTCAGCGGGCTCGTAGCGCCCCTCTGCTGGTACAAAAAACCAGTGCTGCAAGGTTGGGACTGCAGCCAGGTAGGTGCAGGGTCAAACACAGATCAAGGTGAACATGAACTCCATGAAACATGTAGTGAGACAGGGACTATTGAATCAACAGAGACTTTAGATTTAAAGGGTGTAACAGTTTAAACGCTCCGTAAAAACAGTGCTGTGGAGCGGAGTGGGTAAGTGGGGCTGTTTATTGGGGTTACTGGGTCACTTCATTAAAACCTATTTTAAGAGGCATTCAGTGGTTACTGTAAATACAACTCAGCGTGCAGCCTTGTGACGAAGTGGAGGGCGCTTTTTAACGTTAAAACGTAAGCCATTTGTGATGTGATTCAATCTTAAGTTGAATTACTTACACAAAATATTAGTAGAAAGTAGGCCTATAGAAATACATTTACAA